ACACATTAAATCTTTATGTAAAGTTAATATAAAGTGCAGCTTTGTCGAAAATGAAGTAAAACCGGCACCCTGTAATGATGATGTTACCCTTGTATAAAAAGGGCTGGGAAGGAATTGACTTAACAATCTATGAATACCATCAGTCATCGTTTGGCTACCAAGGCTTTGTGTAAAAGCTGCTGAAACTTTGAAATGGCTTTTGCGGTTTGGCCCATTAACTTGGATTAGAGGATTTAGAGGAAACGGCTGGTAAATTTTGATGTCCTGAGGGAAGCGTGCAGTACAATGCCGACCCAAAAGGATGATCTGTAGGTGCATATAATCCATTCCACAGAGAGTTCTTTATGGTTTCTTGCAGGTTTATGAGAAGCTATTTAAATTCATAGAATTTCTACTTGGATCCTTTGATGTATGAATCCAATTAGTTAAATGAATGCAGAAACCATGACGTGCTCTGTGTGGGGTCAAATGTCAACAGGCATTTAATCAAAACATTATTCAAAGTGACTCATTATGATGTCAAGACCACACAGTTAATGTGTTAGAACAACTTGTTAAGCCTTTTTGGGGACAATTATTGATTTGTTAATCAAAAATAAATTGCTGGGAAATTATGACTGAACTATAAGTGTGGAATGTGGGGGGAATGTGGCTTGGCTTGCTGTGCTTGTATATAATAATAATAATAATAATTAGAAAATGTAAAGATCAAATGATCTGCTTTCTCATTACCATGCTGTCTTTTCTCTCCAGGTTGTGAACTATCTGTTGAAAAAGTTGGAGCTGAATTACCACAGACACAACACAAGTGAGAGCTACAGTTGCGGAACACGCCGGAAGCTGTCGACAGCCTTGGCCCTGATCGGAAACCCTCAGATCCTTCTCCTGGTGAGCAAACAATGCACATTATCCTACCAAGCTGAGACTAGTTACTGTTTAGTAAATCATACAGCTACACTATAAATCACTGTATTGCATGTTGTCTTGAGTGTTTGCTCAGAGGGGTTTGAATGGATAAAATGTTGCACACTTGTTACAAACACTTCTGAAATGCGTTGGTGTGCTGTTTGGCATAAGTCTCATAGCATATCAGTTATTCTGACTTAAAATTTTGGCTCGGTGCATTGCATGATTGCATTTACCTGGAGAGTGTGTGGGTTTTGCATTAGGTTTTTGTTCTGTAAGCGCAGAGAAACATCCCAAGTGTTTCTTACTGTACATGTCTCCTCTAACCTCTCAGGATGAACCCAGCTCTGGAATGGACCCGCGTTCCAAACGTCACCTTTGGAAGATCATCTCTGAGCAAGTGATGGGCAAATGTGCTGTGGTCCTGACATCACACAGGTAATGATCGCTCCTGACTCACGCTGCATCGGCTCAAATAGGTGGTAGTAATGATGCATTAAGGCAAAACTGAGTCTCTTAGACCAGGGGTTTTCAAGCTTTTTGATACTAAGAACGTACAAATATGAAGGACATCTTTTGTAAATTATAAAGGCAGCTAAATATTTTCATGTACTGTATACAGACCTATTTGCACTGAGACAAATATTAAGCATAATTTTATTAAGACAGTAACTGGCCTTTATATAGTCATTGTTCTAAGGAACCCTCTTTTAGATGTTAGATATATGTATTGAAGAAATATCTTTCAAATTCTATTCAAATGCATTTGTATTTCACAAAACTGTATGAACATTAAACATTACATATTATGACAAATGCAGAATTTATTTTTTTTTACTTATACTTTAAGTATATGCAGTATATGTATGTATGTACTGTATATAGCAGTATATATAAACATATTACCTTTAACCATTGTTTTGACATTAAAAAATGTAGTAAATGTTTATATATATTGCTTTTTTTCTTCTTCTTTTTTTATGTATTTGACAGTTTTATTTTTCCTTTATAGTGGGCTTCTGTATTCAGTTATCTGTGGAAACTAGATACAATGAAAGTTTAAGACAAACTTTAACTACTGGCTTTATGAAAAATTGCCTGAAACTGCAAATAGATTTAAAAAAGATCTGAAGTTTGAAGACAGTGATCTATTATATACTAAGACGCTATGTATATCTTATGCTGTTTGTAATAAAAAGTTTTTGTCAGTTTTGATGGGTTTGAGAAAGTTGAACGGAGAGTTTCAGCAGTATGTATTTGTGTCCTACAGCATGGAGGAGTGTGAGGCCCTTTGCACCCGTCTGGCTATAATGGTAAAAGGACAGTTCAGATGTCTCGGCTCCCTACAGCACATCAAAAACAGGTCAGTGGTTTATCTTTCTGTATCCTGTGTTTCCTCCTACCAATTATTTTTCATGGTTCTCACGTCTCCTTTTGTTTTCCACAAGTATTGTTGCTCTAGAGCCTGATATCTCCTGCAGACACTTCCTAATTTTGTCCCTGGTGATAAAATAATCTCTGTACTTCTGACAGGTTTGGTAAAGGATTCACGGTGAAGATGTACTTAGCTGAAGCCTCCTGCGATGTAGATATGATCAGTAACTTCATGCAGCAGAATTTCCCCAGCACGTGCCTGAAGGTGAGAAACAGAGCACATCATAATGAAGTTAAAGTTATTGAAAAGTTCAAGTTATTGAAAAGTACGGCGTATCGACTTGACGGCAATATGCCATATCTCATTTCAAATAGAAATAGGATGTTTACTGAAAAGCCTTGAAGGCACAGCAGGTTCATGGGTCAGAGTGTGGAAATGGTCATAAAAATTTAATTATGCCTGTTTTTGGGACAAAAAAACTTACTTACATGATTAGTAGCCCTAAGGGGGAAGAAAATCTTACAGATTTATGATGTGAGCAGAGCACTTAAAGTGGATTTTAAAAGTTAACATTGTCCATGTTCTGTTCATAAAGGATCATCACTCAAATATGGTGGAGTACCACGTGCCTGTTGCTCCCGGTGGTGTGGCTTCAATCTTTGGTCTGTTAGAGTCCAACAAGGCTGTACTGCAAATCAAACACTTCTCAGTCAGCCAGACCACTCTGGATGAGGTAAGATACATAAGATGTTTTTGGTCATTATTTATTTACCCTCATGCTGTTCTTCTGTGGAACACAAAGGGAGATCTATTTGTTTGAAGAATTTTCACACAGCTCTTTTCCATACAACTACAGTTCATAGTGATTTGTCAAGATTTAACAGACACATAAAAGTAGTCCTTACACTATATTGTATACCTTTTGAAGTCGATGTGTGAGGAACAGACCAAAATACAAATTAAAGGGTAAACAAGTGAGTAGTTCTTGAATGTTTAGTGGCCAGGAAGGAAAGAAATGAAAAGAGACACAGAGGTGGTGATGTGGTGACTAAACGATTGTCTTGACTTGTCTCCTTAGGTTTTCATTAACTTTGCCATGGGGAAGACGGACACAGACGAACAGGAAGTCACTGAAGGAACGGACATTGACAGTCTAGACTCGTACAATGCGTTGGACTGATGAAATACTTGCACATTATTGGATTTAATTAACCTCAGAAAGATATTAATTTAATACATAGGAAATCTTTTATAGGCTATATCATATTTTGGTGTTGTGATTTTTATGAAAGACAAAAAAAAATCTATTTTGTATTAAATAATGAAGTCGCCAAATACCTTATGGATAATTATTAAGGATTTATATGAATAATTAGGTGTTAATGAACTCTTTCTGCTCTTCCAAACTTGGGTTCAAATATTGCTCAACATTAAAGGAACTTCTTATGGAAGTTTGTTGCTATTTGTATCACCTTAAAAGGGTTAATATGCAGAGTTTACATTAGTTTACATAGTTTGATGCAATCCATTAGTCTTTCATTTGTCATCAAACAACTCTGCTGCTTATCAAAGAAAATTAAGTCATTTATTTACTAAATTGTTTGAAATATAATTAGCTCTACCAGATATATATATTATATATTAATCAAAACATAAATAATTTACTCAATACAGAATTAAATATGTATGCAGAGTGAAGAGTCCATCCTCTTAAACTGCTAGCTGCATCGATGCAGCTCTTGTCTGGGGTTAATATAAATCACAAAGACCTTTTTGGCTCCAAGATATAAATGATTCTTCAATGTCTGCACATCTTCACTCTCATTAATATTTTCTCTGAAGGCACATCTCTTGTGCAAGAATGTACTAAATATTTCATCGGCCCTTTCCACTGTCTGCTTCAAGGCACAGTTCCTCTTTTAAAAATGTACCAAGCTTATTTTTACATTAAAGCTATTTTTCAAATGCAGTTGTTGAGCATTTGTCTTATTGAATGTAGTGCAATTGGTTCTTTATGTCATGAGTTGAGATATGCAATTTCTTTGCATAGAAAATTGAGCGCTGTGGAACTGATGAACTATCCAATGTTCAGACTGCATTTCAGGCATGTTCTGTCTTTTCCCTATCTATCCATCCATCCAAATTTTTAACCCCTCACACAGTAGCATTTTAAAGCTAAATATCTCCACTACATTTTACAGACGTATTTTAAAAGCAAATTTCTGGACTGAAATAGGTATAGGGTTAGAAACTGTACTTGAATTACACAATAAGTAAATTAAAATGGAAAGGATTAAAATCACTATTGTACTATTGTAAAATAAATCAATCACACACTACCCATGGAAGTTAACTAATAACTGAAAATTATCAAGACATCATGCTTTTATAAAATATTTTGATTTTATTTGTTAACAAAATTCTCTTTTTTAAAAAAAAAAATAGTAGTAATAGAAATTATACAGTTATGTATTAACCCATATATTCACTTAATTGCAATATTGTGATAAAAGAAAAACAAGCTAATAAGATTTCCATCTAAAAGTTATTGGATAAAATAATATTTTATCTTTATCCATGTATGACTTACAGTACATATAGGATAAAATATATCATGCATAGAAGTTTTTATTCTAAAACAGTTCGGATGCTTTATATTGAACTTCTATATTTGTGTAAATATAAGTAAAGCGCTGCACTTCAAAGCCCCAGTTGACCAATCAGAGTGAAAGTTCGCTAAGCTCCTCCCCTTCGCTTCCTGCGTTCATGGCGTGCCGTGAACTTCAAAACAGGTCTGTAAGTTCAAAACAAGTTTGTAAGAAATACTGTAATCGCTCTCTTGCCTTGTTATTATGGATCAAGAAAGATAATGCTGTCATACGGTCAAACCCTGTGACATGAACCAAGACTAGAGAGGCGCTTTTTTGCTGTGTTTAATGGCAGCTATGCTTAGTTTCATAATGAAAGCAGTTCAGACATCCTGGTTCTGACGTCTGAACACGCCAAAAACTGCTCAGTCCAAGTCATTTTGGTTTAATTTTGCAGCTCATCCCTTATGAGAGAGCCGGTGTGCCTTGAACATATACTTTGCAGGTAAAGAAATTAGAAATGTTTGTCGCTGCCATTGATTTTATTGATTCGCATAATGCTTATCCGAATCTGTAGCTTAATATTTATAAATTGCAGCGTTTTCTGGTCTATGACATGAATATGTCAAATGAACTGTATTTAATAAACAATGCAATCGCAATGAAATTAATGCGAGCTTTATTTTAGTTACTTTTCATCAAAGTGTCCTCTATGTGCAACAGTGACAGCAAATCAGGCAGTGTTGCCAAGTTCACAGTTTTCCCTCGGAATTAGGCTACTTTAACGCTGTTATCTTGCCCCAGTTGCTTTTCATGTCCGCGGGTTGAAGCGACTCCAATAACGTGAAATTTAGCCGAATATTTATGCGATATTTTACCGATTTAAAAAACGTGTATTTTACCCCCCCGGGACGCGATTTTTAAAGCTAGTTTTGAGTAGCAGTTGGGCGGGATTTGTTTTGGAAACTTGGCAACCCTGTAAGCAGGCGCATCTCAGCAGTCAGTTTAGAAGAATGATTCATCTCACGCTTTCTGCAGCACTTCCTATACAGGTGTTTTTGGCTTGTTAGGGCCCTTTTCATTGACTTTCAGCATCTCAAACTTGCATTCACTTTCCCATAATACTCTTTTCTAATCATTTACCATCCAGTTTTTAAGTTATTTTCCCCATTCTATCCTTTTCTTCACATTTGCCAGCTTCAGATGGGGTTTTATCTTTGAAACTCTTCTTAAAAGGCCAGCGCCTTAGACTCTTCTCTTCAGTGTTGCAGATGAAACTGGTGTTTGGTGTGTGTTGTTCATTTAAGCTGCCAGCTGAGCATCAGTGAGGAGTCTGTTTCTCAAGCTAGAGACTGAAGTTCTTGCCTTCTGCAGTGTTGTGCATCTGGGCTGTCCACTTCACTCTCTGTCCTGGTTAAATACAGTTTGCTTTCTTCTTTCAAGGAGGTGGTACATTCGATAGCCTTTATCTCTCAAATGAACAATAGACTGATGAGCGTATAGGGAAAGCTGTTTCTTCACAGCCCTTTTGAAGCCAAAATTCGACTTCACAAATGCGAGTGTGCTCAATACTCAAAACAAAGATTTTGTGTTGCAGTTTCTACACTTCATTAAGTAGCACAACCTTTTCAACTGCACTGAGATAATAAAAAATGATCTTGCAGGGTTGCACTATTGGCTGCTCAAAATGGGGCATACAGATTGAGTTACAAAGCCATTATTTCAAACGGTTGTATTTTGCTCATTTATTATGGTTTCACTTTAATTTTGATCATTGAAAAGGTACCTTGGTTAACAGAAGTATCACTTTCAAAAACCATATAGGGTCTATATACTGTATATATAATGTGTTTGTATGTGTGTGTGTATATGTGTATATGTGTGTATATATAAATATATATATATATATATATATATATATATAAACAATTAATCGCGATTAATCGCATGCAAAATAAAAGTTTTTGTTTACATAATATATGTGTGTATACTGTGTGTATTTATTATGTATATATAAATACAAACGCATGTATTTATTTAAGAAAATATGTAGGGATGCACGATATATCGGCCACCATATCGGTATCGGCCGATAAATGCTCATTTTTTCTGTTATCTGTATCGGCCTGATAAGAAAATTTGGCCGATATCTTAAAGCCGATAAATAATGCATTATTTCCTTCAGAGACACTTCAGATGTGCGCTGTTCGTTTGCAGCCTTTTGTGCAATTGTACGTTGTAATATTGTGTTTATTTGATGTATATCTGATTTATCTCATATAGAATGCGTTTGGTTAAGTTAAAAGAGCGCTTCAGTTTACCGGTGATC